ACTTCTTTCTATATAGACACAGTAACAGTCTGATCTCTCTTTCTTTTTCCCACAGTTTGGCTTCTTTTCAGTGAATGGCACGACTGCCTGTCTAGTTGATTCGGCAGCAAACCTGTGTCATCCTCAATTGCTGTCTCTCCAGCACTGTATACTTCTGTATACTCTCTTTTTTTTTTTCTTTTTTTTTGAAAAGAAGCTTTGCTCTTGTTGCCCATGCTGGAGTGCAATGGTGCGATCTCGGCTTACTGCAACCTCTGCCTCCTGGGATCAAGCGATTCTCCTGCCTCAGCCTCCCAAGTAGCTGGGATTACAGGTGTGCGCCACCGTGTCTGGTTGATTTTGTATTTTTAGTAGAGATGGGGTTTCTCCATGTTGGTCAGGCTGGTCTCGAACTCCTGGCCTCAGGTTATCCACCCACTTCAGCCTCCCAAAGTGCTGGGATTACATATATACTTTTAATACTTCAACTGGCATATCAGCTCTGTCTTCAAAATAAATCTCAAGTATTTCACGTTTTCTTTATCTTCACTACTGCTCATTCTACTTAATGACTGTTCTTACCCTGCCTGCTGTGTTAGCCAGACTGACCCTTCGTGTATGTTGGATCACTGTCTCCTGATTCAGTGACTTCGTTGTACCTAGGATACAATATGAAGTCTTATGTACAAGGCCCTGCCTAGGCCTGCACGTGTTTATGCTCTGACGGCCTCTCTGATGTGGTCCCCCTCTGCTCCTGAGGTAACTGGACTTAATTCTGCCTCAAGGTCTTCAACCTTGCTCTTCCTTTTGCCTGGATGACTCTTCTTCCAGATCTTAGCATAACTGGCTTCCAGGAAAGTAAACATCAGCTTTGTGCGAGAAAGTGGCTCTCTGCCCTATCATTCGTCAGGCCGAGGTAACGTATTCAGGAAATAGATTTCCTCCGTGGTCACTGTGCAGATGTAAAGTGTCATATAATGACCCCCTTGAGTGTCTGTTTTCCCACTGAGAATCCTTGTTTATTAAAATCATGGACAGCCACTTTGCTGTTAGAAATCATCAGTAGGAAGGAAATGTCTGATCTCAAAAAGATTCCTTGATTTACAACCCAGATGCAGAACTTCAAGTAAGGGGTTTTAGAACTCTGCATCTCAAGGAAACAGAAGCCTGGTTCACTTCACAGTTCAGACCAGGTCTTTAGCCCACTACCTAGCCCTGTCTTGTTATGTGCCAGTCAAAACACTGTTTGATTTACATTTCACTGAAATACGCTTTTACTAAATCTTCTAATACTCATGTCTCTTGTGAGATGACCCATGGATCTGATGTTCAGTCTTCCATATTAGAATGAGCCAATAAATTAACTGTCCCTTAGGGACTTCGAATGATTGGACTAGGACAGTCCTTATCTTTTGGATCTTATTATCACCGTGCTGCCCGTCCTGCATCCCCCATTGGTGGTTGGCCCTTTGCCCTCCAATCTTTTTCTGTGAGTTTGGAGTGCTTGAGTAAAGGAGATGCTAGGGCAGATCTTCCCCCTTTGTTCCTTTGCTGGTGTCTCCATAGTTCTTCCTCCAGGGGTTCCCTATTGGGCCCTGTTAAAACCACCTATTCTTGGTCTGTCCAGCCTAAAGGTCCCAGTTGGACTTAAGGATCAGGTTGGGGTTGGGTTAGGGTGAGGGTGATGGAGAGGATTAGAGAGTGACGGGGGGTTTAGGGTGAGTCTTAGGGGATAGAATAAGGGTTAGAGGGTGAAGGTGAGGTTTTAGGGTGAGGATTGGGTTAGAGTTAGTTTTGGGTCAGTGATGTGGTTAGTGTTAGATATTAGGTGTTAGGGATGATGGTCTAAGGGTTAGAAATTAGGTGAAGGTTAGGGTTTGGGGTCATAGATTCAGACTCAGCTTGCAGAGCTGTTTGTCACTAACATCATTGTTTGCCTTCTGCTATAATCCCTCCATCACCTCTAATTTCAAACCCTTCCTTAACCTGGCAGAGCTCAGCTAAGGGCTTCTCTGTATTCACCATGGTTATCATCAGGTTCCATTTCCCTTGGAAGCTTGTTCATACTTACCCATACTATTTTGTAATGTGTGCAGAGATATCTGGCTTTCTAATATGTTGTTTAAATCCCATGACCTCAATTTAACAAGTGGATTTTTTGGCAACATTGAATTTTCTTCTTTAAGCATTCTTAGAGCAGAGCTGCTTCCTCACAGAGGATTTTAAATTATTCTTCTTGGTTGCTTTACAAGATAATTTTGCAGCTTGCACGTTTTTCTTCAAAATCTTAAAAGGTTTCATCTACTATTAGGCCAGGCGCCACGGCTCGCGCCTATCATCCCAGCACTTTGGGAGGCCAAGGCGGGTGGATTACCTGAGGTCAGGAGTTTGAGACCAGCCTTAGCAACATGGTGAAACCCCATCTCTACTAAAAATACAAAATTAGTCAGGTGTGGTGGTGCATGCCTGTAATCCCAGCTACTCGGGAGGCTGAGGCAGGAGAATCACTTGAACCCGGGAGGCAGAGGTTGCAGTGAGCTGAGATCATGCCATTGTACTGCAGCCTGGGCGACAAGAGTGAAACTCCATCTCAAAAAAAAAAAAAAAAAAGTTTCGTCTACTTTCTTCATTACATTTGATAAATTTACCAACTCTAGGTCCATCTGTTTTTCATGGGTTTGGCATCGTTTGCTCTCACCCAAGGAACATGTACCCCCAAATCATAGGCTGTCTAGAGAGCTTAGCAGTTCTAGGACAGAGGTGACAAGTTGAGTTGCCCCATGAACTGAACTAAGCGCTGATGGCATCTCACATTGAGCTGTGACAGCTGATGTTCCTTAGCTTGCCTGGTCCAGAGTCAGCACCTGCTGCCTGATGTCCCTGACTCTGCTCTCATGACATCAACTTTTGTCCTGGAGTTTACCTGCGGAGTTGGGTGTCCCTATAGATTAGGCTGCAAAGTACCCCAGACCCTCTTGGTAAGAGCTGTTGAGCAGGTCCTCGCCTGGGACATATGTGTTGGCCTGTAGAGTCCAGGGTTGTATGGGATGTCATTGCCCACTAGGTTTGTGTCTCCCTAACCATTGGTATTCAGGTTGGTTGGTTGGGTGGGTGGTTGGGCAGGTGGAACACAGGCAGGTAGAGCCAGGACTGGTGAAGTCTAAGTTTAGAATTAGGGTTAATTTTAGGGTTAGATTTGATATAGGGGTTAGAGTCATCATGTTCACCTTGTAAGTGGCTGGACAGCAGTGGCTGATTGCTCTATGAGTGTCTCTAAAAAATCTTGTTTGGGGCCAGGCACGGTGACTGATGCTTGTAATCCCAGCACTTTGGCAGGCAAAGGTTGGTAGATCACCTGAGGCCAGGAGTTTGAGAGCAGCCTGGCCAACATGGTGAAACCCTAGCTCTACTAATAATACAAAAATTAGCTGGGTGTGGTGGTGCACACCTGTAATCCCAGCTACTTGGGAGACTGAGGCATGAGAATTGCTTGAACCTGGGAGGTGAAGATTGCATTGACCTGAGATTGTGCCACTGTTCTCAGCCTGGGCAACCACAAGACCCTCTATCCAAACAAACAAAACAGAAATGTTGGGGCTGGGCATGGTGGCTCATGCCTATAATCCGAGTACTTTGTGAGGCTGAGGTGGGCAAATAACTTGAGCCCAGGAGTTCAAAACCAACTTGGGAAACATGGCAAAACCCTCTCTACAAAAACCACAAAAATTAGCTGGGTGTGGTGATACATGTCTGTAGTTTCAGCTACTTGGGAGTCTGAGATGTGTGGCTTGCTTGAGCCTGGGAGGTTGAGGCTGTTGTGAGCCAAGATGGCACCACTGCACTCTAGCCTGGGTGATAGAGTAAGTTAAGTGAAATAAGTCAGGCACAGAAAGACAAATGTCACATGTTCTCACTTACTTGTGGGTGCTAAAATTTGAAACAATTGACGTCATAGAGAGTATAAGGATGTTTACCACAGGCTGGGAAGGGCAGTGAGGGAACGGGGGGTTAGTGGGGATGCGAAATGGGTACAAAAAATTGTTAGAAAGAATGAATAAGACAGTATCTGATAGCACAACAGGGTGATTATAGTCAAAAATAATTTAATTATACATTTTATAAAAACTAAAATAGTATAATTGGATTGTTTATAACATAAGCTATAAATGCTTGAGGGGAGGGATACCCCATTTTTTATTATGTATTACTCATTGAATGCCTGTATCAAAGTATGTCATGTACCCCCACAAATATATACACCAACTGTGTACCCACAAAAATAAATTACAATTAAAATTACAATTAAAACCAAAGGGAGGAGAGTATAATGAGGCATGTGTGACCCATGGCTTGAACTAGCTTTTCAGGTTAACTTTGGAATGTCCTTATCCAAGAAGAGGGGTCTATTTAGTCAATAGGGGCTTAGAAATTAATTTTTAGTTTATAAGTGGAAAAAGGAAGGATTTTTAATCCTAAGCCATAGCTCTCAGTCAATCAATCCCTGCAGGGAACCCTGTTCTTTACTCTGGAGATAAACACTAGTTTTCTTTTCCACGGAATAACACCACATTTCAAAATGAAGGGAAACATCTTGAAACTAAGAGGTACAGCCTTATTAAATTTGATTTGGTTTCCATTGTAATTAATTTAATCACGTGTGTTCCAGTGTCTGTCTTCAGTCTTCTCCTACTTTAGGCCCATGATTTAAATTTGCTCAGCTCCCTGCTCAACAGCAGGAAATCAGTTAGAATTATTTAAAAACCTCATTGTGGCTGGGAGCAGTGACTCATGCCTGTTAATTCCAGCAATTTGGGAGGCCAAGGTGGGCAGATTGCTTGTTGTCAGGGGTTTGAGACCAGCATGGCCAACAGAGTGAAACCCCATCTCTACTAAAGACACAAAAATTAGCTGGGTGTGGTAATTCATGCCTGTAATCCCAGCTACTTGCGAGGCTGAGGCAGAAGAATCCGTTGAACCTGGAAGGCAGAGGTTTTGGTGAGCCAAGATGGTGTACTGCACTCTAGCCTGAGCAGCAGAGCAAGACTCTGTCTCAAAATAATAAATAAATAAATAAATATCTCATTGTGTTTCAAACAAAATTTCTTCTGCATATCCACTGCATCAACTTGCATATTAACTATAACCATTTTGTTTATATCCAATCCTGAGAAATCTTTGAGGACTAATTTCACTCTTTTCTGCCATTTTGGTAAACATACCAAATGCCATCAAACAAAATGCACAAAATTCCTGAGAAATACATTTTATCCTTGAGGAGTAGACTTGCCGTGTTAGAGGAACTCATGGCTACCAAGCTTCTAGTTTAATAAACATGACTAGAATACTCTATCTTAATATGAGTAGCTAGTACTCACAAGGCATCTAGAAAGTTAATACTTATGGTCTGAAAATAGCCACATTTTTTAGCTGGCCACAAATTACAATTGCAGAATATTTATGGCCATACAAGACATCTTCCACCAAGCCTGAAAAATGTATAAATGTCCTAGGACTGCAGCATTTTTTCTTAAAGATAATATTAGTGAGCTAGCTTAGGTCAACGGGTTAATGGTCATTGTTAAAACCAATAGCCCCGACTTCAGTAAGTACATCTGCACCTTCCAAGTTTAATTGTAACTCTTTCTCTTTATAGTTACTTATAAGTGGAGACACTAACAAAAGACAATGCATTCCTGCTTTTGTTTCCTGAGGATGTCCAACTCTGTAATGGAGTAATTTCTGATAAACTTGCTTCCTTCGATGTGCTCTCTGACTCACCTCAAATTTTTTCCTGCACAAAATCTAAGAATCCCACTTTGTGGTCTGTATCAGGACCCTTTTTTCCAGGAACATCTTTCAGCAACACCATGAAGGGACACCAAGACAAGACCCCCACTCCAAGGAAAACAAGCCACACAGAATCAATCAGCTGGCAAGTGGGTCATCTTTTAGAGCCGTGAAGCCATTCAGGTGGGCAAGAACGATTATCCACTATTACTTAAGTGAGAGGCCCTAGGGTATAATATTAGGGTAACTCAGCCCAAAGTTAGAGACTTGGGGGTGTCATACTCAGAGGCCAAGTTCACAAGGTTAGAGGCCCTGGGGTATATTGAAAAGAGTGGATTTGGCTAAAGAAGATGTTTGCCACTTTCTCTTTTGGGACTGTCCACCTTGTGCTCTTTGTCCCTCACCTGAGTGCTCTGCATCTTGTTGTCACCTTTCTGCTCACCAATTCTGTTTTGTAGTAGCCTGGAGGCTGCCCCAGGAAAGAGGCCCCAAACAGTTTAGCTTTTAATTTCCTCAATGATCCTCTGACTTTTAGCTGATTGCTTATTTAATTTGCCACTTGTCCAAGTGACACTGAAAACAAGAAATGTCTTGGAACCTAGTATTTTTGTACCTTAGTTATCAGAAAAGATCAGCATTAACCTCTGCATCATTATGACTAGAAGTTGAAATGTGGTATTTAACAGCCCTACATGATAGGATCAGATCTGCCTGTTTAGTGACAGCCTCTTTTGTGACAACACCCTGTAAACAGCCTCAAGATGGAGAACATGAGACTTTTTCTTAATAGTTTTCTCTCATTTCTTAACCATAAGGTCATCTTTGGTGAGTTGGTATAAGGCAGCTGGACTCTACTTTCTAAACCCAGCATGTCACTTTTTTCCTGAAAGAGTTTTGTTGTAGCAGTGTGAAAATGGACTAATACATTACAACATACAAGTTACAGCCTTCCCATTCCCCCCCCTTTTTTTGTAGCTTAATTTGTTTTATGGAAGAGAAACTAAGAAACTAAATGGGAGGAAATACTTTACATACAGGCTTCTCTGATACTTGGTCAAGATAAAAAGTTAAAATGGGCTTCTATATGTTTGATGGAGGAAAAGACAAAATAGAGATGGCACATAATTGATTACCCTTCTAATGCAAGTGTCTCTTAATATTAGACTTTTCTTTCTTTTTTTTTTTTTTTTTGAGACAGAGTCTGGCTGTGTTGCCCAGGCTGGAGTGCAGTGGCCGGATCTCAGCTCACTGCAAGCCCCGCCTCCCGGGTTCACGCCATTCTCCTGCCTCAGCCTCCCGAGTAGCTGGGAGTACAGGCGCTCGCCACCTCGCCCGGCTAATTTTTTTTTTTTTGTATTTTAGTAGAGATGGGGTTTCACCGTGTTAGCCAGGATGGTCTCGATCTCCTGAACTCGTGATCTGCCCGTCTCGGCCTCCCAAAGTGCTGGGATTACAGGCTTGAGCCACCGCGCCCAGCCAATATTAGACTTCTCTTAGCTGAGGCTGAACTCTCCCCTGCCAGTCCAAGTACCCCATAAGAACACACACTCCTTCCAGTTCTGGTGAGGCGTGCAACATGTTATTAATTTCTTCTAGTTTTCCAGAGTTATCTAGTGTCCAGGCATCATCTTCTCCCTGCCCTTCAAGTCCTGTCTTACATACATACCCCACTCTCAAAACACCTGAGCTTCACCAGAACAACATGCAGTGGAGCCTCTTATCAGCTGGCAAAGTTGAATGTTTGCCCTCTCTGGGAAGTGACAGATGATAATAGGGACACTATACAGGTATACGGACCCTTTTCTATGTCTGAGTTAGCCATATGCAAGGAAAAACTAAAACAGCTTTCAGAGGTTCCAGGAAAATTTGTAGACAAATTTGAGAGGCTAATCTTGATGTATGATCTGACCAGGCAAGATTTGCATACATTTATGCTCACCTGCTGCATGGTAGAAAAGCAGTGTATTACGGGAGTGGCTAGAGCACAAGCTAACAGGGTGGCAGCCTGCAACCAGGGACCTGACACCTATCAAGTAGGAGGCACAGCAGTGCCTGACTAGGACCCAAAAGAGAAATAGAATCTAGAAAAGAGATTCTAATCTAGAATTAGGAAGAAAGTGGGATATAGAGAGAAAAAATTATGATCATTTGACTCCTTGAAGGAATCAAAAAAAGTGTGATAAAGCTTTTTGATTTTTACGAAGTCTGGAAAATTACTCAGGGAAAAGATGAAAACCTAGCCTTATTACAAGGGTGGATAATTTAGACTTTGAGGGAATGCACTAACACTGACCCTGACTCCAAGAAGGGACAGGCATTGCTAGGAGTTTATTTTATAGCCCAGTCTGCTTCTGATATCTGCAGGAAGCCGCCAAAAGCAGCTTTAGCCTTCCAGACTCCTGTGGATCAGATTTTAGACTTGGATTCTGCAGTTTTCCATCACAGGAATAGGGCAGAGAAAACATAAAATAAAGCAAATCTCCCAAGAGGCCCAGCTTCTAGCTGAAGCCTTGCGCTCTCCACCATTTCAGAGGCAGCCCCTTAACCCCTGGCCCTCGCAGAGGAAGTGAGAAGGTAAAAGTCCCAATCCGTGCCTCTGGGCCACTGTGCCTTGGATATCAACCAATGTGCCTTCTGTAAGAAGGTTGGCCACTGCCGAAGGAAATGCACTGTGCTTCCAAGGGAGTCATCACCAGAGCCCAGCAGACTCAAAAGTGGTAGGGCATAATACTTCCTACCTCGGCTCCCATTGGACTGTTAGCTATCGAGAGATGGAGGAGCCTCAGGTGACTCTTGAAGTGGCAGGTAGGAGCATTAACTTCTTATTAGGTGTGGGAGCAGATGACTCTGTCCTGATTCAATACAAGGGGCTCCTGTCTTCTCATGATGGCCAAGCCCAAAAACACTGCTTTTCGCATCTTCTAAGTTGTCTTCCAGGGGCTCTGGGTTTCTCATCTGCCTTTTTAGTACTGTCTGAATGCCTGACCTCTTACTGGGGAGAGGTTTATTGACTCAGACCAAGTGATGGTCACCCTCACAGATCATAAAGCATAGAAAATGTTACTTTTGATCCTGACCCCTCAGGGGAAAAAAAAGTTAAGAATGAGCTGTCACATTTACCACCTGAGGTGTTGTCTCAAGTAAATCTTGAGGTTTGGGCCACACAGGCTCTGGGAAACGCACTAAACCCCTCCCCCATTCAAATCCAACTTGAGCCTCATGCTCCTCGCCCTCGAGGATTTTTTATGTCTCAAAAATAAATAAACCAGCAGATCCCATGAGGCTTATTCACTGTCACAAGAACAGCATGGGAAAGACCCATCCCCTGATTCAATTACCTCCCACTGGGTCCCTCCCACGATATATGGGAAGGATGGGAGCTACAATTCAAGATAAGATTTGACTGTGGACACAGCCAAAGCATGTCACAGGTTATGAAACAAATTTATTTAGGAGGCCAGACTTAAGACAGATGAATCCCTTGACCATCCCAAGGAAGAGTGGTTAACAGAGGCAAGTTGTTTTATGCATCAGGAAAACAGGAGGGCTAGACATGCTATTATTAGTCAGCACAAGAGAATCGAGGCACAAGCTTTGCTGGCCTCTACCTCAGCTCAAAAAGCTGAGTTAATTGAACTTACTAGGCCCCTGCCGTTGGGAAAGGATTTGAAAGTTAAATACTTTACCTTTAACTCCTTGACAACACATTTTAGGGCAAGAAGCATGAGGGGAAATTCAACCCCTTATTGGCAAATTCTTTCCTATGAGTTACTAAGGCCGCGAGAGTCTCCTTACAATACTCGCACGTCACCAGATGAAAAGCCTAATGGCTTGAGTTACAATACTCACACATTACCAGCTCCCAAATTCTTGCCGTGTGAATTACTAAGGCCGTGAGAATCTCCTTACAATACTCACATGTCACCAGATGAAAAGCCTAATGGCAAGTACAGATTTGTCAGAAACCTTAGAGCATTAATAAATGTAGTTTTCTCCATACACCTCATTGTCCCCAGTACTTACCAAGTCCCAGGGGATGCAAGCTGGTTTACACTCTTAAGTCTGAAAGACACATTTTTCTGTCTCTCAATGCATCCAGATTCATAATATGTTTGCCTTTGAATGACTCATCCAGATACACATTCAGCCTAAAAACTAACCTGAACAGTCATCTCCGAAGGGTTCTGGGATAGTCCCCACTTATTTGAAAATGCTCTAGCTAAGGACTTAAGAAATCTACAGTTGGAAAGAGACACAATTATTAATATGTAGGTGACTTGCTCATTGCTAGCCCAACTAAGTAAGACTCACATTATAGTACTGTTAAGTTGGTAAATTTCCTGGGAACTTGCAGATACAGGGTATCACCATACAGGGCTCAGATTTTGACTCAAAGACTTAAATATTTGGAATCCATCTTAACCTCTAGAACTGATCAACATTCCTAGAAGATAAAAAAAGCTATTTTAGTCATCCAAGGATCCCAGTCCAATGAATGACTGTGGGCTTTTTCAGGAAATGTCTGGGTACTGCTGCTTACGGGTGCCCAGATTTGGACATGTAGCCAAGCCTTTATATGATATACTAAAGGGAAAGATTTACAGCTCCTAGAATGTCATTAGAACTGCAAACAAACCTTCAATACTCTCAAGGAGAAATTGGGCTCTGCTGCAGCCGCGGGAGTCCCCAGGTTGGATGAACCATTTTTTATCTATGTGGCCAAAAAGCAAGTCATAGGCCTTGGGTAATCTTGTCCCAAAACTGGGGGACATTCCAAGGCCAGTAGCCTAATTTTCTAAGCAGATAGACCAGGTGGCCTCAGGGTGGCCTTGATGTCTTAGAGCTATTGCTGCGACCACTTTTCTAGTAGGCGAAGCTAATAAACTAACATTAGAACAGCACCTACAGGTTTTTGACCCCACAACAAGGGACGGTGGTCCTAGAAGCTAAAGGGCAGCAGTGGATAATAGGAGAATACTTACGAAAGTATCATGTCTTATTGCTAGACACTCCAGACATAACCCTTAAAGCCTGCCAAACCATAAATGCAGCTACTTATCTGCCAGAGTCCACAGGTGCTCCTAGCCTTTCCGGCATACAGGTTGTATTAGTCTGTTCTCATGCTGCTAATAAAGACATATCTGAGGCTGGGTAATTTATAAAGAAAAGAGGTTTAGTTGACTCACAGTTGCACGTAGTCGGGGAGGCCTCACACTCATGGCAGAAGGCAAATGAGGAGCAAAGTCACATCTCTTACACAGCAGCAGGGAAAAGAGCTTGTGTAGGGTAACTCTCCTTTATAAAATCATCAGCTGTAATCCCAGCACTTTGGGAGGCCAAGGCAGTGGATGACCTGAGGTGAGGAGATTGAGGCCAGCCTGGCCAACATGGTGAAACCCTGTCTATACTAAAAGTACAAAAATTAGACAGCCATGATGGTGGGTGCCTATAATCCCAGCTACTTGGGAGGCTGAGACAGGAGAATTGCTTGAACCCAGGAGTCAGAGGTTGCAGTCAGCCGAGATCATGCTACTGCACTCCAGCCTGAGTAATGGAGTAAGACTATATCTCAAAAATAAATAAATAAATAAACCATCTGATCTCATGAGGCTTATCTACTGTCACAAGAACAGCATGGGAAAGACCCATCCTCTGATTCGATTTCCTCCCACTGGGTCCCTCCAATGATATATGGGAATTATGGGAGCTACAATTCAAGATAAGATTCGACTGTGGACACAGCCAAAGCATGTCACAGGTTATGAAACAAATTTATTCTAGCAGGCCAGACTTAAGAGAGATGAATCCCTTGATCATCCCAAGGAAGAGTGGTTAACAGATCCAAGTTGTTTTATGCATCAGGAAAACAGGAGGGCTAGATATGCCATTATTAGTCAGCACAAGAGAGTCAAGGCACAAGCCTTGCTGGCCTCTACCTCAGCTCAAAACCTGAGTTAATTGAACTTACCAGGCCCCTGCAGTTGGGAAAGGATTTAAAAGTTAACATTTACACTGATTCCAAGTATGATTTTTTAGTGCTTCATGCTTATGCTGCAGTTTGGAATGGGTAGGGACTCCTGACCCCCAAGGGCTTTTCCATACAACATCATTCAGATTTTGAGCTTGTTAGAATGCTGCTTTGCTGCCAAAAAGTGACTATAATTAATTTGCAGAGGACATCAAAAGAGAGACTGACCATGTAAAAGGAAATGCCCTTGTAGATGCCACAGCCAAGGCCCCTACACTGAAAGGGCCAATGAAGCTTATGCGCGTGCTGGTCAGCATGCATAGAACTGGGCCAGAATACTCTGAAGAAGAACAAAAATGGGCCAGGGATTGCATTTCAGTCCAGGGCCCCTCTGGCTGGCTGAAGGATGGTAATAAATTACTAACGCCAAGTATCAATCACAGGAATATAATTCAGCACTTTCATGATTCTTTTCACCCTAGAAGAGATTATTTGTTTCTGTTAATGTCTCATTTGTTTATAGGGGTAAATCTTTTCAAGACAGTAAAACAGGTGTCTCAGCACTGAGAGCTCTGTGCCTGACATGACCCAAACAGCCAGCAATTTTCTCCTTCTCCAGTTAAACCTGTTCAAAATGAGGAACCTATCCAGGTGAGAACTGGCAACTCTAATTTACTCAGCTGCCTTTCTGCAGGAGATTCAAATATTTGCTAATGATACCTTCACTGATACCTTCACTGGTTAGATCGAGGCATTCCCCACCCCATCTGAAAAATGTTTACCAGAAGAAATAACTCCTCAGTTTCAGAAATCTAAAAGCCTGCAAAGTGACAAGGGCCCATCTTTCACAGCAGGTGTATCCCAACACCTATCCTCAGCTTGAAGAATCCAATATGACCTTCACTCTCCTTGGAGACCGTGGTCCTCTGGAAAGGTGAAAGGGCTGATCCTACTCTAAAGAAGACTCTAGCTAAATCAGAGGCCTGACTATCTCTAACACCCATAGCTTACTGCAGGTTTGAACTGCTCCAAAGTAAAGCTTATAATGAAGTCCTGTTGAGTTAACATATGGAAGGCCTTTCCTAACCACAGATCTCCTAATAGAGGAAAGGACTCATCAATTACAAAAATATGTCATCAATCTAGGACAGGTGCAAGGCACTCTGTGAGTATGGAAACAAGAGTTTTCCCCTCCCACATGGGAGGAAAATTCAGTTTCAGGTCAGCTAGGGATTTAGTCTTAGTAAAGACATGGGAGGAAGTTCTCCAGCTGACCAGCTTTCCCCGACGTGGAAAGGACCACAGCAGGGACACCTGAGCTCCCCAACAGACGTTCAACGCCAAGGGACTCACAGGTGGGTACACCTGTGTGGAAGTAAAGCTGCTGCTTATTCTGGGAGCCCGATGCGAGGCTGGGGGAGGTGGGCGCGGGGCTATTTCAGCATTGGCAGAGGGCAGGCTGGGTCACTGCGCGTCTGCTCCTCCTCCTCGCGTTTCTCCTGCCGCCCTGATCCCGCCTTAGCCATGAGGGAGATCGTGCTCACGCAGGCCGGGCAGTGCGGGAACCAGATCGGCGCCAAGG